CTGTATATGATTATAGACTGATAAATGCATACTGGGTTTCTGAAAACCAGAGCTTTAGTGAAACTCGAAAAAAATTTTAACAAGTAACAGATTAAATGTTTAAGGTTTATAGCACAATGATTAAAAACAAAGGAATACAAACTAAAGAAAATAACTGTAAATATAATTAGTTTCTCTTCTCACAGCTATAGTGTATGTGCTGAAGATATACATAAACTGTTGGGTTTCTCACAGTATAGTTACAAACCAAAGGTAAGAAGATACAAAAATAACCAAAAAGCTTTGCAACAAAACCTGAATTACAGCATAAGCATATACTAGGCAGAAATTCTTATATAGATTTAAGAAAAATCTAAGGCATTTCTTGCTAAAGTCAAAATTTTAAATAGTTTTCCAGGTTTACATGTAACAGTAATTTAATTTGGGTAACAAATTAAACCTGCTACAAATGGAATTACTTGGGAAAGCAAAGTTATTGATACACATACAAAAGACTATTATGTAAGTAGTGAGCATTAACAATAGAAAATAAAAACCCATCTAAGATGTAATTACTTGCATACTAGATTAAAAGGCCCAAAATATAGAATAATTTTAGATAGAAATGATTTTGGTAACCATACAAAAGAGGTTCTCTTCAATATTCTATCTGGGAGCTTTTTTTAATTGTGTTATGAAAACTATTAAAAGTAAAATCACTAGTTACCAATAGTAAGCTTTAACATCAAAGACAGTTAGGTTTGTTATGATTTGGAGATTCTCTGGCCTTTTAAAAATTAAAGATATTAATGGTAAGAATCTCCGATAGCAAATAATGGTAAAGCTAAAATTTTTTCCAACTTTGTTTTTCATGTCCTTTCCTTAAAGATTCAAAACTCTAAATACTGGAAGGATCCCTATTAAACATATTTTACAAGAAATTTGGATAAAATTTCTAAGCAACACTAGATCTGAAATATTGTCATCTCTCATTTTTGTTGTTGCTATGAAAAGTGCAGGACCTCATAAAGCCTCAGTTCTTACTGATGCCTTAGGCAAGCATTTAATCTGAAACCCAAATCACACAGATAAGTATTTATCCCTTTCTTAAATATATCCAGGGGATTAGATTGTTCTCAAGTCTCTTCCCAGAACATATTTCACAATCCAGAGGTTCTTTATCTAACATCCTCAATGCTTCATAAATTTAACTTCAGTGCCTCTTGCTGTTTTCAGTGCATGACCCAGACAGTTAAATGCCTCTATGAGTTTACCATCTGAAAGGAAGTAAATCCTGACTTTTATTTCTTCTCCCTGCTAGCTGGCAATGTAGCAACTATGAAGAGAAACGGTACTAATAAAATTAACCCAATGCATAGAAGTCTTTTTTTTCTTCTCTAAAAACAACCAAGCAAAGACATAGTTAACTTAAGTATACTGTAACTAATTTATAACATTCTCTTGGGACCTAGGAAAATTTTAACATACACAGAAAGGTTTTATGAGGTAACACAGATTTATGAATCTTTCAATTTAAAACTGAACATATGTGGGAAAATATTAAATAAGAGAATGTTTTTAGAAAATGTAACAGTAAATGTATTTTTAAAATCAGTTCTTTAGGCATGACGTAGCTAGTCTACTACTTAAGAAATGTGGCTCCTTGCTCTACTTTAAGTGACAATGAAGGCATTACTTTTGTAAGAAGAAGGGAATTATTCTTATTTTTAAAAATAAACTTTTAGTTGCTTTCTTTAAATACTAACTTAGATAAGATTCTCTTATGGTGGATAGTGATTTATCTTATGATTTAATCTTACAGGAACCACAATAAACCAAGAGAGAATACACAAAAGGAAGCTGTTTTTGTTTTAATTTAGATTAGGATTTTAATGTGTTTTGTTCTTCAATGATAACACTGATTCAAAGTCAGAACAGCAGTCTTGGATAATATGCTCTTTGCTGTTCTGTAAATATCTGTGTTAATAAGCTATTAAATCAGAATATTGTTCATAAAATTCTACTTGTTTTGAAGTTTCATGATAGTTTCTGAATTTTCCTTGTTTTGGTAGCTTATATCACAGTGGAAATTATTTAAACAAAATAATTTTATGATCTAAGAGTTTCCATTCTATCATTAAACTGAAACAAGTGGAATTTAGCACTGGCTAAGTTAAATATGTAGGAGAAATTATATATGTTTACGCCTAGGAGGTACGTGGCTTACATTTTATTTTAAGGTCCTGAGTTTAAGAAACCATATCTAAATTCCATGAATCTGAAAATACAAGAAGAAATCTTTTATCAGTTTTGGTATAGGTAACTTTTGTATAGTATAAGTCTTCTTTTCTAAATTTTCTACAGATGTCAGAAGGCAAGGTATGACATAATGTATTCATCCATGTGTGCTTTGGATATTAGTCAGCAAAGGCAGCCTTGGATCAATGATGACTCCCATATTTAAAAAAAAAAAAGCCTTGATATAAATATGAATTAATAAGCCCATCCTCCCTATCTTTTCTGATCCTATCTTAAGTTAGTAAAAGAAAAATAATTCTCCACACTCCATCCATCCTCTGCTTTATCTATTTTGAAAACATACTCAATTGAAAACACCAAAAATAAGGAGACATGGTTTTAGAAAGTGAAAGTAGCAGTAGTCTTCATGACTGTAGCCGCAAAGTCTATATTTCATTGACATAAATCTTTATTTTTGGGAGAGATCCATAATCACAAGTTAGAGACAGAAATACCAATTTACAGAAGACACACAGAGGGAAAGGAATGACAGCACGTAAGTCCAGGATATAAAAATGATGTAAACAAATTCTATCAAAAATAATCCACACATACTTTTGCATAAATTAACTGGTCAATGAAGAGAGATACAAACCAGGAAAAGGATGCCCAAAACAAGAAACATAAACTTAAAACTCCTCCATAGTTATGAGGATACAAATCGCAGGTCTAGAGAAGTTAGGAATAGAAGGTTTGAATCCCATTTGAGCGGTTTAGCTTCTCCAGGACTATTCCTTTGTAAAATGATACAGCATTTACTTCATAGTATGGTTGTGAATGCAAATAGTTAACATGTATTAAATGCTACATAAATATAAGGGATTGTCATAGCGTTGTTGGTAGAAAATAATTTAGAATATATTGCCATATAATGTAGTGGTTAATTAAAAACATGAATGCTAAAGTTTTCTGCATGGGTTCAAATTCTGTCTCCATTGCTTAGAAGCTGTGTGACTCTTGATAACAACGTACTTAACTTCTGGATGCCAAGATTTTCTTCAGAAAATGGGGATCATAATAATCTACCTCACAGAGTTGTGGTGAGAAGTAAAAAACATGTAAAGAGCTTAAAACAGTACCTGTCACTGAACAAGCACCCAATAAGTATTAACTACTGTTATTGTTGTGTTGTTATTAATACTAGGCATAAACAACTTAGGACCTGGCTTCTCAAATCAAGAAACAAGTAGTTAGGTGGAAAATGGAATAGAAAAGATCTATCTTAGGCTATCCACTGCCATCCTTCAAAAACAGCAGATAGGAATCAAGGCTATAAGAGCGGGAAGGTGGGCTGCAGTACAGCAGCTTGCTAGCGAACCTGATGGAACAAACACGTTACCCATCCTACTACTACTACATCTTTGGGAGGTAACTAAAGAGAAAGGAAGTCTTAGCTCTTGGAACTAGTTCTAGTGTTTCCTCAGAAGAAACTGTACCCTGAAGAACAAGTTATTTCTCATCTGCCACAGCAAAAACAAAACATTCCAAGCACAGATTTTAGCATACACGTCGCTGCTACAAATACTAACTAAGGGTGAGGGAACCCAATCTAGACCAGGTTCTAAGATGTGTGTGGCCCTGGCCTTCAACATGGGTGCAAAGAGGTTCTTGAATGAGATGGTCTCCAAGGCATTTTCCAAATCTAACATTCCTATTCAATTATAGATACGTTTCTTTCCTTGGTGATGGCTGTGGAAAGTTATTAATATTTCACTAAAATATAGTTCAATAGAACCTCTGTTAGAAGAACGAACCTTCAGAATCATCTATAAGCTCAGAGCATACATGTAATTATGGTTCAGGAAAGACAATTGCCCACAGTAGTGACTGCGAGAAGTCTATCATTCTTAAACCTGTCACCAATCCCACTAAGAGATGATACAAAAACAAAAACAACATATGATGCTAAAATTGTCTGGTTTGAGATTTGTCTAAAATGGCTTTTTTTTTTTAATTTGATAGGTAAAAAAGACATGGTATTTATCACAGAGGACCAATTTAATCGAAACTGTACAGTATGAATCTAAAACACTGACTAGTAAAGTCACGTGGTAATTTTAATACTAGTTAGACAAGAATGTCTTAATTAAGGCCTTTTCATAGTCTTAAGGTAGTAAGCTTCTTAAAGACAAGAAAGGTGTCCTATTAGGGTCTCGAAAGCCGCAACAGCACCTCACAGGGTGCCTTCATACGCAGTGGGCACCGACCAAGATCTGCTCAGTGAGCTGGGGAACAAGCAGCATTACAATGAGGTGATACCTGGAAGAGCTACTCTCCAAAACCTCATCTTTAAACAAATGCCAAAGTACTATAACTTAAAATTGAATTTAAGAAATTAACAAAGTTAATCTGGCCAAATTTATTAACATCAATAAATATTCAGTTTTCTCCTTAGTTTTTATATGTAGATTAATGTAGATTAATATGAATTCTTTTTACTTTTTCCCTTCATTGATTTGTTTTTTTCCAAAAGACGCTGTTGTACAACCTCATTTCAAAATGAAGGCTTTTATCTGGACCCTAGGTGTGCTACTCTTCCTACTAACGGGCATTGGACATTGCAGAGGAGGACAGTTCAAAATAAAAAAAATAACCCAGAGAAGATACCCTCGTGCCACAGACGGTAAAGAGGAAGCAAAGAAATGTGCATACACTTTCCTGGTACCGGAACAAAAAATAACAGGGCCAATCTGTGTCAACACCAAAGGGCAAGATGCGGGTACCATCAAAGATATGATCACCAGGATGGACCTGGAGAATCTGAAGGATGTGCTCTCCAGGCAGAAGCGGGAGATAGACGTGCTGCAACTGGTGGTGGATGTGGACGGAAACATCGTGAATGAGGTAAAGCTCCTGAGGAAAGAAAGCCGAAACATGAACTCCCGCGTCACTCAGCTCTACATGCAACTCTTGCACGAGATTATCCGTAAGAGGGATAATTCACTTGAACTTTCCCAGTTGGAGAATAAAATCCTCAATGTCACCACAGAAATGCTGAAGATGGCGACCAGGTACAGGGAACTAGAGGTGAAATACGCTTCCTTGACTGACCTTGTCAACAACCAGTCTGTGATGATCACTGTGCTGGAAGAACAGTGCTTGAGGGTATTTTCCCGACAAGACACCCATGTGTCTCCCCCTCTTGTCCAGGTGGTGCCACAACACATTCCCAACAGTCACCAGTACACTCCTGGTCTGCTGGCAGGTAACGAGATACAGAGGGATCCAGGTTATCCCAGAGATTTAATGCCGCCACCGGATCTGGCAACTTCTCCCACCAAAAGCCCTTTCAAGATACCACCACTAACTTTTATCAATGAAGGTGAGTCACTGTTAAAAAATGGAAGTATTGGGTTAATATGTTTCATGGTTTACGGAACAATGCTCATAATAAATGCTTATTCTTCACTTTGGTGGAGTTACACACATACATAAATTTCCATTTTTGTTTTTTATTAATATCATCAGGAATTGAACTTAAGTACATCTCCTCTCCCAGCTCTAAGGTTCGAGAGTGTATTCTGTGAAAAAAGTAGTCTTCCATCCAAATTCTCGTGTCTAGAGGCGATGTCACTGAGACAGACACCTGCCCATGTTCCACTCCCAACCTGTGGAGTCCTGCTCCACAACCAGCCCACCAGCGTCCCACGAGGTGCTCGCTGCTGCTCAACAACCCCTTGCTGTTCCCACCATCACACTCTTCCAAAGGAACGTTTAAAATTTTGCTTTTACGGTCAAGCCTGTCATTACACCTCCTTACCCCACTGTCAGCAGACGACTCATCTACTACTGTACTAAGTCTAATCAGGTTTTGTTCTTTCCGATTCTTAAAAACATCTGTACTAAAAACCCATGCCTTTTTGCCCTCAGCCTCAAGAGGAAAAGGAATTCCTATTTTCCAAGGCTAAGCAAACTACAATCTGCACCTTGTATCCAAATAAATACAACTTTTCATTACCATAAAAAAATCCTTTCACTGATCTTAAGATCCCCATCTGTACTTCTTAATTTCATTTCTTCTTCCCTTCATTCAACATCAGTCACTGATCTAGGTGCCCAGAAAACAAAGATGAGTAATTCACCTTTGTTACAGTTTATCAGCCTCACTGCTAACTTTCTGAATAAGTATTTCACATTTATTTTACACTTGCATCCATTTTCTCATAGGCCATTCTGAATCCTTTACAAGCTGATTTGCTTCCTTAGAGTGGAGGGGAAAACACAAATACCCCAAAGTAAAAAATATGAGTAAACAAATTAGTTCATTCACTTATTGAAAAGACAGGGCATAAAACTGTGTAGACTACAAACTAATTTTAAACAACAACAAACACACAGAACAAAGACTGGAAAGAAAACATTATGAAGTGGCTGTATTTCTCTGCAGTAGTGGATACCACTAAGCATCCACAGCGCTGCTTTCTTGGGCTTCCATATTGTATCATTCTGACTTGCTGCTTCTCTAGGTTCTCCACTGGCACTTTTCCCTTCTATTCCTTAAAAAGGCTTTCTTCAGGTATTGTGTTTTAGTGGCCTCATATACCTTATTCAAGGCTTCAAGTATCACCACTGCTCGGATGACCCATGAATGGAGCTCTCTCTCCTGAGTCTAACCAAAGCTGGGTGTTTGCATCTGGATATCGTACCATGACCTCACATGCTACTGCTTCCTTTACTGAAATACCTTCTTTGGGCTTACTTGTCAACTTAGCAGATTTTAAGGCTTAACTCAAATAATACTCTTACTGTTACGACTTCCCGGATTCAAACAAACATACTTAGATGGCTCTTTCCCCAATCACTATTTCTTGAACATGTTTTCTATATCATATTACACTGAAATTATTTATTTACATGCCTGTCTCCCTGCTGGTCTGAATGCTTCTGGAAGACACTGAACTCTCTGTTCATCATTCTGTCTCAACATCTAGCCAGGATCAGGTTTGGCACAATGTGCTCAGCATATTGTAGGCACTTGAGGAATGAATGGATGAATTAGTAAACAAACCCCCAAATAAAAAATTTCCCCAAACTAGCATTCTCCTTTTAGAAATAATCAGTATTACAAAAGGAATACGTTATGTGCTGAAGAAAATCTAGAAAATACCAATAAGCCTTTTTAAAAAAGCCTCCCTGAATAACTTCCAAGTCTTTCTTTTTTCCTTTCATAAACATGGTCATCAACATTCTTGTAACTTTCTAAAATAACTTTCTTCTTTTTGTTTTTCTAGGATTATATCCTTAGGATAAACTTTTATAAGTAAAACTGATCAAATTCTTTTGATTTCTCTATGTTGATCTACCACTCGTTTCTGAACTGAATTGGCTGGTGTTTGGTACTTCCCACCCGCCCCACACAGTCAGCTGAATTTCGCCCAGGTCCCTTTTTCAGTCTCTCATGTACATGTCCCAAATTTCTATTCAGAGCAAAAACTCTAACTTAGATTCAAGTTATCCATGGCAGCAGCTAGAAGATAGAGATTTCCTGGGTTACCAGTTGTGTGACCTTGGAAAAAAACTTTCTCCATGCCCCAGTGTCCTCATCTATGAAATGGGAATACTAACTGTACTTACCTCATAGAGTTTCCTACTTGAAGAGTACTTAGAGTACAGGTGCCTGGCACTCAAATGGTACGGTCTTACTAAGAACTGAATAGCCTGCCAACTGGTCTAACTCCCGTCTTCTCTCTCCACCAAGATGTATTTACATTGCCAACAGATCCCATCTTCTTAAACCACCCACATAACCACAATTCTGCTCAGCAGTTCCCTACTGCAAACAGAAAAAGTCCAATTTACTTAGTCTGGCTAGGAATAATGTCCTCCTCAAAGAATCAAGCCTACTCTGCTACCTTTCCTTCCATTAGTTTCCTTTACGAAAACTATCTGCTCCAATAAAATGAATCTACTTAGTTTCTCCTAAATATTTCCATGTTTTTTGCCTATTTAAATTATAAAGCTCAAACCAACCAACCAAATAAAATTGCAACTCCTCCTTGAGGCCCGTGTTGGCTCCCACAGGCTTGAAGTGATTGTTCCTCTCCATGAACCTCCACACTCTGCAACACACGCACGATATTCCATATATTCCCTCTTAAATCATCAGTCATCTTTACATGCACACATAAGTACATCTAAATAAAATGCCCTCCAACTATATGATAAGCTTCTTCCTGGTAGATGGATATTGTGTCTTATTTGCAGCTGCTAAATGTTAGCTGATTTGATAATATTTTTATAGAGCTTCTTAAAGTTGTCATTCCAAAGACCTTCATGAAAGTACTTTAATATATTATATTGTACCGGATACACTTATTTTATACTGTTTTAATGTACAGTAGCAACAGGCCAGAGTATAATTAAATTAGGTAAATATGATCATTATTAATATCCTCAAGCCTTCTGATTTCCAAAGGGAAAATGTGAACAAAGTGATCCACTGGGTACAGAAAGAAAAAATTTACATTTATATTTATTTTTGATTCCATTTTTAAAAATTTATGTTTTGTGTAAGTTTTAGTGTATATAATTTATCAGTACAGTGGTTTATATATATAATTCATAAATAAACATAACTGAGGTATGTGCATTTTCTTTAAACTGATGAGGTGTACAATTATGTAAGTATGGAGACTACGGCCATGGAGTATTCTTTGTGACCCTGAATCTTAAGGGAATGGTGTCACCAGTTTTAGCAGAAATGATTATTCACATATTTATACACTGGTAAACTTTTCTAAGAAAATGACTATACCAAATAAAATATATCATTTCTAGGTTTTATCATACATTGAACTTTAGTATAAGAAAAATGTAATGTTATAGAATTAAATCCCATGTTGGGGATTAAGATGATTCAAAAGTCTCCTTAAAAATATTCTGCTTTAATGAAACAATGGTGTATATACCCCAATAAACTAATCTTTAATATAAAAATTAAGGACAGATAACTTTTTTCTGTTATTCATTATTTTTTGTTTTAAGTAAACATTAACCTTTTACTTATTTTATTCTACAAATGTTGGTCTCTTAAATTCAAGGGCATAATTAGCTACCACAAGAATTATTATATTAATTAGTAGACTAATGAACATATAAGGGAAAGTACAGAATTAAGAAAACCTGGTTCCACCATTACCTTTGTTTTGTATGTCACTTTGCCTGTTTCGGTTTTCTCATTTGTACAATTAGAGTGCCGATTGGACTAGATGATTCTAATACCCTTCTCCAGTTCTATTACTCTGTGATTCTTACCAAATCACAGAGCAACAACAGGCATGTTATTTTCTTTATATAATGTGCTCAATTATTTGTTCATATTATTTTCATATCTCTCTGAGAAAGACATCTAAAACTGTCTGGGTGCTTGCACAAAAAAGGGCAAAGACAAATGGCTATTGGTGTACTCATGGATGCTCCTGGCACCAAGAAATTTATATTACTGTACTCTACATGTAGGTACGTAGTCATCCTACAGTTTCTAAATGCATAAAGTGAAAATACACAATTTGTATTTTAAAAGGTATTTAATCAGCCACAAAAGGACAAATACTGTATGATTCTACTTACATGAAGCACACAGAGTAGTCAAATTCACAGAGACAGAAAGAAGAATGGTGGTTACCAGGGGCAGTGGGGAGGAGTGAATGGGGAGTTGTTTAATGGTTATAGTTTCAGTTTTGCAAGATGAAAAGAGTTCTGGAGATGGATGGTGGTGACGGCTGCAACAATATGAATGTACTTAATGCCACCGATCACGGCCAGGCGCGGTGGCTCACGCCTGTCATCCTAGCACTCTGGGAGGCCGAGGCGGGAAGATCGCTTGAGGTCAGGAGTTCGAGGCCACTGAACAG